AAACGAATGTGCATTTCCACTCGGTTATATTTGTGGTTGCTTGTGCGTTGTGTGTTGTGTTTTGTGTATGTGTTGTGCGTGTGTTGCGTGTGCGCTTGTGTGAGTGCATGCTTACCTTCCAAAGGGAATAACCAAGAACGGCCACGATGACGGAAGCGACGAACAACAGGATCGGAGTAGTGGCGGTAAGGACAACACCGGTTAGGTCAGGTGGGTAGGGGCCGCTGCCATCTGTAGTTTCACCTGGGATTTTGTCCTCTGGGCCAGGTAAAGGACCTGATTGTGCTGGTTGCCCATTTAATCCATCGCTTGGCGTCCATAGTGCATGGGATCCGCCAGGATTACCTGTTCCGGCCGCACCAGGAGTATGTAGGTCGAGACCGCTGAAATCCCCCGTGGAAACGGTTCCCGTACCATCACCACCTCCCTTTCCTGCCCCACCAGGCACTCCATCCGCCAAATCAGCGTCACTGAAACTGCCACTACTACCCGATTGAGTTGGGCTCGTGGTTGGTGGTTTTGGTTTGGGTGGATTGAGAGGAGGGGGTTCATCGTTACCGCCGTCGATGACGGAACCTCCACCACTGTTACCGGGTTCACCATGTTTACCCGCTGGACCGGAAGGACCGGTTTCACCGTCCTGCGCTGGGGAACCTGAAGCACCCGTTGTACCCTTTGCACCGGATTCACGTGATGGAGCTGTTGGTGTTGATTCTGATGGTGCTGATGCGGGTGCTTCCGTTGATTGGGCGCCTGCTCCATCCTTACTCCAGCTATCCTTCTCAGTATCTTGACCTGCAAATGTGGAGCAGAAGGAGGAAACATGTCGAAGGCAACTGAAGTTTTGTGGGGTGGTCGGCACCATTGGTGCCGCGGGGACGGCGGGCCAGGAGAAGAACGGGGGTAGGGTGCCACCCGGGAACAGACACTCTCTGTCGCCGACACACAACACAACACAACACACAGACACACAGTGTGTGTGTCGACGTCTCTACGTCGCTCTCTACCTGCAGCGGTTCTGCCTCGGCTGTTTCTCGCGCCCCGTTCGCCCCGTCGCTATCCCTGTCATTGGGCGTGTGGTCTCCGGAAAACTTTTTTTTTTTTTTTTTCTTTCTGGCCCAATGGTATACTCAGGGTACCGACAATGGGATGTGGACCCCGTGGTGCACATTACCTGTGACGTCCACTGCTGTGTCCGGGTCCATGCATGCAGGTGTGGAAGGAGTCACGACTGACGTTATTTGTACACGTCCTACGTTACCCTCATTGTCTGTTGTTTCCCACGCTTGAGTTTGCTTGGTTTTTTCACATATTGCACGTTGCTTCTTACCTGCGTCTTCAGTGTGTCCTTCAGGTACATCCTTACTCTTATCTCCGGATCCCTGACCGTGTCCAGGTGTTTGGGTAGTTGTGGAGGTTTTTGGTGCTGCATCCGCTTGTGGAGCGTCTGGTTTCTTCGGTGGTACTACTGGTGTTGATATTGCGCCGTCCGACTTCTCGTTCTTCTCCTTGCTTTTCTCTACAATGAAGAAGGAAAGGAAGAAAGATAAAAAGGTGGTAAAAAGATGATAAAAACAAAAGGACACTAGTGGTACAAAGAATGGGCGGTCGATGTGGTGTGGTACGGTCGGGTCGACTCGGTGGACTGCGCACTCGGTGAACTGGGCTAGATGGTAGCAGTACAACTTTTATTTGTCGGCTTCCCGCTCCGTCATCTCATCCCGGTGCCTCGTCACCGCTACCGCTACCGCTACCATCGTGACGGCCGCTCTGCGCATGGCGCAAGCGAACTGGGGCAGCGTAGATGTGCCGCGCTGTGCTGTTGTGCTGTTCTCGCCGCGTGTGCGTGTTCTTGTGTTTGCGGCATTCCTACTATTCGTGCCGTGTGTATGGGTATTCATATTCGTATTGTTGCTATTCGTGTACTTACCGTCTTCAATTTCCATGTCCTTCTCATCCGCTTCGTCAGTTTCACTCAGGGTTTCCTCTTCATCGGAATCCGTCTCATCCGTATCGTGTTGTCCTTTCCCGGATCTTGCCCTTTCAACTTTGTTCAGAACTTTCTTCATTCTTTTGTTCAATTTCTCTTTCACATTTATTTCCCATCTCTCCTGGTTAGTCTGCTCTTGCTCATCCAGCGGTCTATTCTCCTTCGTCTGCTCCTTCCTTATTTTTTTCTGACACGCCGCTTTCATTCTTTCCCCTGCTATCATACTTTTTAGTCTGTCATTGTTCCTTAACCTTTCTTTAATCTCCTCACTCATACTCCAATTGCCGCGCGTTATATCCATCAGTCGGTCCATCGCGCATTTTTGCGTACCGGCTGACCTAGTTATTCCTCCGTCCTTCATCATTCCATCCACCGAGTACCATGCATAAAATGTACCCCATTTACTTCTACACACGGATTCAAACAATATGTCCGTGAACATATGCACTACTGCACATCTCATGTAACCTTTCAACTTCATATCATTCTCTTTCTCATCATAAGGGATTTTTCCAGTTTGACTCCATCCTTTCAGGAAATATAAAGCAATTGTCATAAATTTGCACGCAATCCTGTCACCTTCATTTTGACCCACGTGCGCATACTTTGCATCAGTGAGCCAATGTTGCCAACCTGCATTATTACAGTTTGAACCCAAGGCGTCCATAAGTGGCTCCATGTCTTTCATGTGTTCAACAAACTCTCCGAGCCTGGCCCGTATGTCGTTCTGTAGACTTTCCTGAAATGTATAATATGCACACGTACTCTGTAGCTGCGTTCATGTGCATTCATTCACTCGTTGCATTCAAACATTCACATAGCACGACTGCGCTCGTGCGTATTACTCTGTTCTAAATTTGCGCATTCAATGTTACCATGATATATGCAGTAACACACTTCTACGCACATTTGCACGTGGCACCAACATATATGAGCGCGTATACTCCTATACACGGTTTGTTGTGTCGTTCATAATTAATTACCTGATAAAGCTCACCACTTCCCTCTAGTTGCCTTTCCTTGGCGTATTTTGCCAATATATCCGCTAATGCCCTATCCGACATACTTCTTCGTCTTGGAGTAGCTCAAATATTACACACCTGAGTATTGTCCCAATGTCCCACGTGAACTATATTAACCTACACATGTCCCCTCTAGGCCTTGTTATATTCTTCCTTTACTACTTATGAGTAATGTGCCCCCTGAACACTTAACATTAGAACATTATACATAACAAAATCCTTATGTACCGGTGTGCAATCCCATGCGTCTACTATTATTATATTCCTCAGAAACCATATATTGAGAATGACAGAGGAATAAATATAGATAAAGAAAAAAAAAAAAGAACACAAGAAAGGTAATGAAAAAATAGTAAACAGTATTACTACTACCGCCTACACCCGCAACGCGTCATGAATAACGCCCGCTCCCGCCTTTCTACATCGGTCTCCACTAAACGCCTGTCACACACACTGTCTCTCTGTGTGCGTACACAACCAAACCGCAGTATAACAACAACATCAATTTCTTCTACCGTCGTTGTCCCCGTTGTTGCGGCCCGTGTTGATCCCATAAAATTTGTGTGTTGCCGTCTCCACCCCTACGCCTTGCTGTTCCCTCTATGGATCCTCACTCGGCTACTTACTCGAATCGTTCTTACACGCGGCCGCTTTGGTCGACGCGTTTGCTCGGACACACAAGCCTCCGCCTTGTTACACTCGGACAATCCCGTCTACCCGGCCGCGTTGGTCGACGCGTTTGCTCGGAGAGACAATCTCTCCTTATACTCGAATGCGTATGCGCATGCTATAGTTGTTCTGCACTATACCCTTCGAATGCACGTGCTCAGCTTTTAATAATTAACTTCACATAAAGGAGAATTCTACCCCTTCATATTATTCATTGAAAGCTACATTTTATATGCATGTAACCGGTACGCACCTGTTCCTATGGTCATGTTAAAAGTTGACTACACAGAAAAAGAACAAAACAGGGCAAAAGTAAACAGAAAGCAACAGAAGTAAGCAGAACAGAGAAGAAAAAAAAAAAAAGAAGGTATGGAATAATGTAAACCAGAAATATATTATGTATATCACATAATGCAGTAAAAGTCGTGTGCGGGTAGCAGGCGTTATGTCGCATGCATATGCCCCGTCATCCTAATGTGAACACTGTTGCAATAGGGCATCCACATATAACTCCTTCTCCTGCAAACTGCGTTCAACTTCGCACTGTTCTATGACGAATGCCAGGATCAGTATCCATATTTTAGCGGTTAACCGTTTTTTCATGTAAGGTTGCGGATGCAGTGGTTGCGACCGCGGTAAATCTGTCACGCGTAGCATATCGTGTGCTGCCATTACATTTTCCACGTCTAAGTGTTTTTCCACTGCAGATGCGTCGCCTTGTTCCGGTACTGTCTGCTCCTGTACAGTATTCAACAAATGTGGACACCACTCCGTGTCCTTGTATGTACTCATTTGCCGATGTTGCTGTGCGACCCATTGTTTCCACAAGTCCAGTTTCTTCATCGGCGGGGTGGCCGCTTCACCGTTGTCAATGTGCCCGTTGTCTTCGTTATCCTCGTTTGCCACCATGTGCTCACGCAGGTATTGTTTCCATTCCGCTTTTAATTGCAAAAACCACGGCTGCGTCGTGCACGCGCGCAATAGATGCTTGTTGCGGTCAATCCAGTTAATCCAGTGGGTATGCCATGCGTGGGCCGAGGTCGCCTCCGTGTGGTCGGAATGAGCATTGTGTTCTGCATCTAACTGTATGGTTTCCATACAACTCCATGGATCGGGGTCCTCTTCGTTAGGCGGACAAGGGTCCGTTGCTAACGGTATAGTTTCCATACAACTCCATGGATCGGGGTGCTCTTCGTTAGGTGCAGATGCGTGCGTGCCGTCGGAATAGGTGGGTGGATGCAGGGTTGGTGAATCGGCGTTTGTTGTTGAGTCCTGGGTTGCGAAACCGTCGTCGGGGGTACAGACATCCGAGCTACTTGTACACGTGTTGTTGCCCCCCATAAACTCTTCAACGAGTATGTGCCAATAGTCCTCTTTGACGTTTTCCCATTCGGTCGCGTCACATTCGTGTAACACTTCTAGATGTAGCTCGATGATGGTGCGCTTATGCACGCGTGGTGGGCGTCCTCTACCAGGTATTGACGCAGGTTGCCTAGCCCTAACCATCGTGTACCCGTAATCGGGTGGCGGTAGTTCGCCGCGTTGTAAATGCTGCAATATTTCTTCGTCGAGTGGCGGTGACGGCACGTCACGAAGGTTCGATATGTTCGTCGTCGTTTGGCGAGGTGCGCAAAGTACTAAGCAAAAAAAGGGGGTAAAGAGGAGGGTGGGCACGGTAGGATAACAGGAATGAATACGGGTGTAGGAGTGTATTGGTTAGAAACATCATATATTGGAGCCCGTCGGGATGTTCTGAGGTATAAACATCCTGCACATGCAGCATGCCCGCATTGTCGTATATACTTACCTTCCACAGGAAGAACGCAATGATCGCAATACCAACCACCGCGGGAATGATCGCGGGGGTGTACGGCTTAATATCTTCCCATGTGAGGCCGGGCGGAACGGAAGGGGTGGCAGGGGTGAGGGCAGGCCCTGCACCACCACTAGTACCACCTCCGTGTGCGCCACCTTCACCAGTTGCACCTCCGCCTTTTCCTTCCCCACCAGAAACGCCATCCGCCAAATCAGCATCACTGAAACTGCCACTACTACCCGATTGATCTGGGTTCGGATTCGGTTTTGGTTTGGGTGGATTGGGGGGTAGCAGCTGTGTAGGGGGGTCATCATTGCCACCGTCCACCACAGCATCCGCAGGTTTGCCGTCTGCACCTGTTGGACCTGGTGGAACAGAGGGACTCTGGGGCACTACGTCTCCGGCAGGCGTAGTTACTGTGGTGTCCCCCGTGTTAGAAGCCTGTGCACCGGCGTTTGTACTACTGTCAACATGCGTAGGACTTCGGGTTGGGTCCTCCGATTGCGTGTTCTTATCGCCCGGGGCAACTGGCGTTGTACTACCTAAACATTCGAAAAAAGAGGACGAATACACAAGAACGTGAATTGTTGCGATGTGATGGCCCACGGTTGCCGCTTGCCCGCTGTCCGTCGCTGCATTGTTCGACCACACGGTTGACGGCGGTTGCCCGCGGTTGGCACCATTGGTGCCACGGGGACGGAGGCAGGCGTCGGGGACACGGTGCGAACGGTGGTTACGGTGCACCCGGGAAAAGACTCGCTCTCTCGCGCACAACACACACACAGATAGTGTGTGTGTGCGTCGACGTCTCTACGTCGCTCTCTACCGGGCGCGGCAGTCTGGCTCGCCCCGTGGCTGTGCCGGTCATTCGCAGTCGACGTTTGGTTTCTCGCGCTCCGGGGTTTCTCTCGCCGGAAATGTTGTTTCTTTTGTTCTCGTGGTGTTTGTTGTGGATATTCACTCAGGACACTACCTGCTCCGGTGTCATCAGGTTTCTTATTACAGTCATCATCAGCTCCTGGGCTCAACCCAAAGGAGACGGTTGTCAAGGATGTTGCTTCGCGTAGTCCGTCGCCTGCATTCTTGACTGTAGAAACCCCTGGTGCCTTAGGACACTTACCTGCTTTGTCTGTTTCCTGCCCTTTCTTGTTGTCCTGAGAAATCTTCTCCGTAGGTGGTTCTGGTGACGACTGTGTAGGTATGGGCGCCCCAGGCGCTGATACTGGTACTACTTGTGTTGGTCGCTGGGCGCCGCCCTCTGACCTGGCCCTGTCATGTGTCCCAGCACCTCCCTCCGAAGGTTTCTTCTCAGGAACAACCTTCTTTGGTACCTCTGGTACCTTAGCTGGTGGTACGTCTGGTTTCTTCGGTGGTGATGCGGACTTGTCTCTACCTCCCTCAGCAGAGTCCTTGGGGGTCTTAACTTCCGGTTTCGTCGTCGCTGGCTTGGTGGCCACCGGTTTCGTCGTCGCTGGCTTGGTGGCCGCCGCTCCTCCAGCGCCTGCAAAAAGGAGAGCGGCAGAAAGATGGATGAACAAACGATAACAAAGCGACACACAAGTGGTACAGAAAGAAGGGGGCGGGACGGTGCGGTCAGGTAGCGGCAGGCTAGGGTCCGGCTCACGTCAGGGGCTCGATGCAGTGTGTCGATGCAGTGGGCCGAGATGGACTGCGATGGACTGAGTGAGGCGGCCGCAAGCGAACGGTGAGGTGAACTCGGTGGACTTGGCTAGATGGGATGGTAGCAGTACACTTTTATTTGTCGTCGTCATCGCGTCCGCGACCGCCGTCCCGCTGCATCCGTCGCCGTCACCGCTACCATCGTGACGGCCGCTCCATCCCACGCACGACACAGTCACACCACTGTGACGCTGCAGACTCATCACCGCTACACACTCGTCTACACTGCATTCTGCGAACGGTACGCTCCTCACTGGTGGCCACTCATATGCGTTCGCTCCGCCACCGCTCAACGTCAGCGAAGCCGTTTGCTGTGCTGTGTCACCGTGCGTTTGGCCGTTCCCGCGTGTGCGTGTTGTTGTTCTTTCCGCGGGCGCGTGGTGTTGTGCCCGTTGTGTTGTTGTGGTGGTGGCATCTATATCGGTACCGTACGGACCGGGCCGTGTGATCCCGTGTGCGGCCGTATGATTGGTATGCTTACGAGTCGTATTCGTACTGTTCTTACCATTCGTGTCCTCCTGTTCTGCGTCTTCATCTTCCGACTCTTCTTGTGCAACATGGTCCACTCCCGCCTTACACCTCGTGTCCTTCTGGACGTTGGAGGTACCCGTAGAACTTAACCTGGACTGCTCTTTCCTTTTCTTATTCATTCTTCCCCCTTCATCTATGTCTTCCTTCATCCCTACAATTATGCTGTCCACGATATGTCCTATCTTCTTGCCAAGTTGTGTGTGTGCATCACTGCCTCCTGCACTACCATGCGTAGTACCTCCGCTCTCTTTCATACCTCGTTCCCTCTTCCATGGTTTGTTACATTCTGCGCTTGCCTCAGCTTTCTGTATTTCCGCCATTATGTGTGCATTGTCCCTTAACCATGCATCCACAGCGCTCCGAATGTCCTGTTTGCCTATTTTCAGAGCGCGCCATGCATCCTTAGTACACGTTCCGTCTGTAATTGCACTGCTGAATGCTGCACCTCCTGCGTCATTTCCCATTTTTCTCGCCACCTTCCAGGCATAACTCGGTCCTTTCCACGGATTCCCGCATTTGGCATTTCTCAATATGTTCATATACATATTTACCACTACACACCCTAAAATTTCCCTCATATCCTGATCATTCTGACTCCTGCCGCTGTATGCATTCTTGCCCATTCTCACCGTATTCATGAAGGCCAATGCTGCTGACATCAGTTTACATTTCATAACATCCCCCGTGGAGAAGCTCGTGTATAGGGTGTCACTATTGTCCTTATAGCCCCAACCCTCATTCTCACAGTTGATCCCGAATGCATCGAGGAGTTCATTGTCTATTGTGTGCTTCATATGTTCCACAAACTCCTCCAGTAGTGCTTTCATCTTTTCCCATAATCCACTCTGTTGTATATATTAAGAAAAAAATAAACATGCACATTTATATTTTGCATACTACGTTGCTGGACATATAATCATTCTGAATTATCCGGTCTTATGCATTTTGGAGTATCTCGTTGAAATTATACATCCTGCAGTACTTACATCAAACTTGTCCTGAGTAAACCTGGCCTCCCCCGTGGCCCATATGGCCAATACATCTTTAATAAATTCCTCCACAGGCTTATACTTCCCATCTTGCGAACTCATCTTGCATTTGTCATCAGCAGAAAAATGCCGCAACGTTGTATGAACATTTTCATATGTCCGCTGAATACTTCAGAAATCCTGAACTTCCTATTCCGATTGTTCTTCCTGAACACATCCTACGTGTGCCTGGCTTGCGCACAGAATGATTTATCTATGTGGTTGACAACAGGTAGGAGCTACTAGAACAGTTGTATAATATATTGTTATAATACACACGGAACAGGAAGACCTGTGTATTGTTGCCCTTAATACATATTAAGCTTTAACAAAATGTTGCCTATATAAATGCCCATTCTACATTAGGAAATACACATAATTCTACATGAAAGGAAAAGTGGGAAAATCAGACATATGTAAGAAGAATAAAAAGAAAAGAGAAAAGAATAAAAATAAAAAAAGAGCACAAAGAAAAGAAAAAATAGGAAAAATACAACACAACGTGTCATGAATACGCCTTTCTACACCCGCCGCCCCCTTCTCCACTAAACGCCGTCACACACACTGTGTCTGTGTGCGCGTACACAAAAAAACCGCAGTATAACAACAACATCAATGCGTCTGCCGTCGTTGTCGTCTCCGTCAACGCCTCTTCCGTCAACGTGTCTCGCGTCCAGGCTTGTGCCGTCAACGCCTCTCCCGTCAACGCCTCTCCGAGTCACCCCGTCTCTGTCAACGCTTCTCCCGTCAACTCCCCTCCGTCAACGCCTCTCCGTCAACGCTTCCGGAACGCGGCTACTTCGTCGAATCCGTCTTACACTCAACCGCGTTTGCTCGGAGACAATGCTTACTAGGACGCGGCAACGACGGCAGGACGAAGAAGGACGAATTGATGTTGTTGTTATACTGCGGTTTTAGGTGTACGCACAGACACACAGTGTGACGGCGTTTAGTGGACAAAGGGGGTGCGTATATATTTTGTTGTTGTTGTTGTTGTTGATGGTGTTGAGTCTGATGATGTTGTTGTTAATGAGCGGTAGTAGTAGTAGTAGTCGCGTACTTTTTTTTTTTAAGAAGGGAATAAGTGTTCCATATGCTCGCGGACTATGGCAATGACATACTGCCCTTTCTAGGGGCATGGGAGGATTATCTACAGACAAGGAAGATAACGGACGGAACGGGTTATTGGGTAAGTTCAACTATACAGGACGTTCAGAGAACGAGGGGCAATAATACATTTGAGCAGGCAAGGCGTATGTATACGTAACAAATGCGGCAGTACAGGTACTCACGCACTGTTTATACACGTATCCTGCAAGTGAGTGAGGTATTTAGAGGAACACGGCAACACAACACGCGCGCACTGCTTACATCACACAAGGACGCGTGTGGCAGTGCAGTTCAATACAGACTAAGGCGCACTGCGCACTATACATGCATGAATTATTGCACTCACAGCAAAAATTAATGCAAGAGGTTGATGACATATTCCATGAGTTAATCAGGAAAATTGGCTACACACATGGCAACATCTCTGGCTTCTGCGGGAGTATTCACAACAAACATGGGACCTGCATAAAAAGGTGTACGGAAATTGTAAATTTAATGCTATACATGAAGGGGTATGAACATAAAGGCACACAAGGATTGCAGAGAAGGCCAGTAAACTCGGGCACGTGGCAGCAGTTTCAAGAATATTTAAGATGTACAGTAACGATGGAAGCTTTATTACGACTCTATGGAAGGAATGGGGATCACATCACAGTAATGGACGAGGTTTCGAAGGAGTTAGAACAGGGGAAAACATTTGTGAAGCAGAGGCTTGAAAGTGGAATATGTGAAAACAGAGATTGGGCGAAGGTATTATTCCAATCAAAGAGTATGGGAACGGCCTTACAGAATCGATTAAACAGCTTGCGTGAAAGGTGGACACCAGCAAAGGTACCGGCTCGAAGCACATCAGGAAAATGTGGATGGGATGATACAGAAGGGACTGACAATGCCGGGCAGCCGAACCGTGACGAAGACTGTAATGCACAGGCGCGGGCGATACCACAGCACGATGAGCTCATGAAGGCCATAAAGGGCGTGGTGGACGAAGGACACACCTTTCCGAACGTACATAAGGTGTTACAGGACATGCAAAAACCAGGGCAATCCCAGGACATATGTCGACTAGAGCAGAAGATAAAGGAGGGGGTCCAGCACGTGCAGAAACAAGCGGAGGGGCGGCATGAAGCCACTCTGGGGGCGACGGAACCGCACACACCACCGCAGACGCCCGCCGTCCACGATTCCGGTGCGACGTTCAACGTAGCCAAACCAGCGCGAGACACACCGGTAGCACCGGGAGCCACGGCAACACCACCGGCACCGGCAGGTACGACCGATGAGAGAAAGCACGAATACGACACGTAACAATACGCATACACGGCACGCATGTAGACCGTACGAATATGGATGCCGCCAACAACAACACACACGCACGCGGGCAGCAACAACGCACATGCGGGGGAACAGCACCCCTTCGTTGAGCCGAGCGAGCAGCGGCTACGACGGAAGCTGCCCCACTTCGGTCGAGCACATCATCGTTGAGCCGTGCGCAGATGTGCGCGGCGGCGGCCACGACGGTAGCGGTAGCGGTAGCGGTAGCGAAGCACCGGACGAGGGACGAGGCACGGCGACAACAACATCACCTGGGAGCGGTGGACGGACCACACGCAGTGCAGCTACTGGTGTAGGACCAGTCAATAAGGGGGATACGCAAGCGGCGAAAGATTTTTTAGTGAAAGTTCTCGTGAGTTATATAAAGGACAGGGGCATACCCGGGAATGATAGGGATAGGACGTTTAACGTAAGTTATTATGAGAGGAGAATGAAGGCAAATGTTGAGGCAGTGTATGCGCATATGATAATAGAGAATGCACGGAATGCATAGATAGAATATATGTGCACGTACGGGTGCATTCGAGTAATAGTTAGAAACAGCAAAGTATAGAGTTTTATATATTAGGAGAGGAGCTATATTTTGGGCAGACCAAGGCACCGCGCCGAACGAGAAAAAGAGGTCTACCAGCGCAAGCGGCACAATGTGTGTATAATTATATGATTCTTACACGGCGTAGGACACATTCTGGGCGGACATGAAGACTGTTTACGACGAATTTGTCACATATATGGACAACACGGATCAGGAGGCCCTGTATGGGACACTGTGTCACGCGGCTGCACAGAATCCGCATCAGGAACACATGTTACAGAGTGACCTTGTCGTATGTGAGTTTATGTTGGGTGCGTTGCTTTTTAAGCATGGGCTCAATGCGTCTCGCGCAGGCAGCAGTGCGCAAGGGACTGTAGAACCCGTAACACCAACGCAACGCTATATGAAGTGTATGATAGTGAATGTATTCATACATAGTATGCTTGGTCAGGATTGTCTAGACACCACGGGTGCAGGGTATGCAGAAAAAGCTATATATGAATTATTGAAGCCCGAATCTGGGTTCCACGAGAATGCTACGTGTGACGGTGTAGACTTTAGTAACACAACAGTAGCCGGGGGTAACTTAAGGCACAAAATAAGAGAATGGATAAAGCAGGAAAAGATAAAGTGGGGCGATACAGAAGCTGCAGGAATATTAAGCAGTAGGTGTAAACAGTGGAGGCAAGAAGGACAGAGACAGAGCGGAATAGCGAAAACGCACGTGAACCACATAGATAACGATGAGGAGAAAAAAATACAGGACGAGGTTAAACACATAAAGGGAGAAGTGACGGCCGCAATGGACAAAGTACACAAGAGTATTGACATCGATAAGGAAGAAATACAGAGCACGGCCGCTGCGAAGGTGGCCGCGACAAAACCGGCAACACCACCACCACAGCAACCGCCAAGTAAGGACCGATGGGAGAAAGCACGAATACGGACACTACGAACACGGCCGAATACGGCCGCCACCGATACGACTGCGGATGGATGCCGCCACAACAACGCAACGGCTACACGCACGCGGCGGAACAGCACAGCACACAGCAAATGACTTCGCTGCCAGACGTTGCTGCACCACTTCGCCCAACGTAGAATTGCCGAGCAGAGCGGCCACCACGACGGCAACCGTAGCAGCGATGAGTGTGCAGCCGTAGTGGCGACGAGGATGAGTGTAGAAGAGGTGTGTGTGTGAGTGCGGGACGGCGTCACAGTGGTGTGACAATGGTGCGTGGGGATGTAGCGAAGGCTACGCATCGAGCGAAGACGACGAGGGATGCAGCGGGACGAGGGAGGCGGGACGGCGACAACATAAGTGTACTGCTACCATCCAACCCCAGTGCAGCCAGTCCACCGTGTACACTCCATCCAGACCTATACATCGAGACGACCGCATGCCCACGAGACCTACCATCCCGTTTCTTCCTTCCTCTTTTTCCTTTCTTTTTCAGTTTTTCGCTCCTTTTTACTTTGTTCCTTTCTTTTTTCCTCTTATGCCAAATTTTATCCCGTAAGCGTCTTCCAAATAGTTACGGGGAAACGCAAAAGAAAATGAGGACAAAGGGAAAGTTTTTAATGATTTTATTTTTCCCCTAAGAGGGACACACGTTTCTTCCTCCTTTGAGATTTGCTCTTTTCTCTATGTGGAATGTTTTCATTTGGGCTTATTTTTTCCCTCCGTGCTTACGTGAAATGTTAGGGAGAACAATTTTTTCTTTTTACTCTTAGGACCTAAAGATAATAGTACAGACTTTTTTCTTTTTTTTTTTTTTTCTCTAGGACCTATGGATAATCGTACAGGTTTTTTTTTGCACCATCCGTGCTGTTTATTTTCTTTTTTATGTTTTTTTTTTCCTTTTCTTTTTATTCTTTTTCGTGTTCCTTCTTTTTTTTTTTTTTTTTTTCCATTCTCTGGGTGTATGCTCCATATTTGTGATGCTTTCATGTAGCTGCCATCGTGCGGGGGTAGGTGGGTAATTTTTTTTTCGCGCACGCCTTACGCTTTTTCTTTGAAATACTTGTATGCGATATGCGTAAACCAATGCATATATTATTCTTATTATGGTATGTATGGCGGCACTTGTCCCCTTTTCCTTTTACATTCCCTCTTGTTCTCCTTTTCGGGGCCTTCTCGGGGCCTTATCGGGGCCTTGTGGGTGCCCCTTTGTTCGAGACCTTGTTTTGTGTATAAACGTTCCGACTCGGGCGTACACACAATTTTTTTTTCCTTTTTTTCTGTTTCTCTTTTTCCTTTGGCGTTTTTCCTCTTTCCCCTGTGTTGTTTTTTTTCTTTTTTTCCGCTCTTTTGCTTTTCTTTGTTTTTTCCACCCTTTTCCTTTTTTTTCTCTTTTTCTTTTTCTTTTTAATTTCGTTGCTTCTATTATGTGCGCTTGTTTTGTATGCGACTTTTGTTCTGTGGGGCTGTTGTTGTATGGAGCTTTTATTCTCCGAACGTTCCCGTTTTAGGGTTGAAGGCAGCTCCTCCCACGCCCACGCACAGCCTTGCTGCTTTAAGGGAGATCGTTAGTGGTGCTCCGATTCGAGTGTATAAAGCATTTTTTCTTTTTTTTTTTCCTTCTTACTCTTTCTTCTGCGTTATTAAATTGTGTTCCTTTTTTTTTCTTTCTGTTTTTTTTTTGTGTTCGTATTTGTTGTTTTTTTTTTTGTTCTTCTATAGGGCTTGTATTATATGAGCTCCTTTTTGTTTTTTTTTTGTTTTTTTTTTTCCTTATGTTCCAATAAGTATTAGGGTGCTTTCCGCAGCACGGTCTCCAGCGTTCCCCTCGCCCAGCTGTTTGTTTATCTGTTCGTATTTATTTTTTTTTTCCTTGTGTTCTTTGTTTTCCTTGCTCATTTACTACTTCCCTGGTGCAAGTGAACGTGGAAGTGCAAGTATATACTTATTAGAACAACCGGTATTGGAATATTTTTGTACATGTATGTATATGTATCATCCCGTTCATGCTTGTTTTGTACGCCGTTTTTCTGAATACGGGCCCCAGTTTGTGGGACGAAGCTGGACGGGCATGGAATCTATAGTTTTTTTCTATGCAATGTTATTGTTCTTCTTCTTTCTTCTACACTGTACAATACACATACGTATATGCGCCCACATGATGAAGCATCTTGTAGGACGATCCCGATGTTGTAGAACAATTGCATATGACGACCACGACCTTATTGTATCGAATGCACGATAGGGGAGTATCACAAACGAGAAGCATGTGGGAAGACCACGGAAGAGAAGGGCAAGGTGCGCAACGTGTGCAACATGCCAAATGAATGTAGGGGTCTTGTATGAATACGTTCTGTTAGAAATTACTCTCTGTGTAGAGCAGAACATATTATGAAGGGGGGGAAGGACAAACATGTAGAAATGGCATATATAGGGTAAAGTGATATAACAGAACGAACAGGGCAAACATGGATACTCAATTATGGAGGGAATTGTTAAAGGTGTATGTCGCAAAAAGGAAAAGAAGAATAAGCGCACGGACAACAGAATTAGTAAGACTAGAAGAATGACAACATGGCAGGAAGACATAAACAGGGCATGTGTATGCACTACTGTAAATTAGCGGAATCTATGTATGTGCCATATATATGTTCCCGGGACACAATTCCACTACCATTTAGGAAAAAGAAAACTTTATGTAGAATGGGCATTTATTAATGCTCATGCAACATATAAAAGAATATGGAGTAACGGTATACATAGATACATGTAAAATATCTTTATTGCAGAGACAACTACTGACGATTATAGAGGAGAATTTCCAACAGTTCATGGAACATATGGGTGACAGCAGTATGATCGAAGCTTATGGGTCCAATTGTAATAATGATGAATCGGATTACTGGAATGAACATGGGCGTACACCAGCGGGAACAAGGATAATGATGACAAAGGAAGATAGAACTGTGTGCATGCTAATGACAGGTGCATTGTCCTTTGCGAATGGATGGGGCACACGAGCAAAATATAAGGAAGGGACTAGTGAAGATGAAAGAAAAGCAGACGAATTCATAAAATGTGCACTAGCAAATATATATATGTACACATTAGAACAGACACGGCATGATGGAAAAGATGGAATAGAGTATGCATGGTACCTAATGAAAGGTATGGAGGCATCTGAAATGGAAAATTTAATTAAAGATGAGAAATGCAAGAAGGGTGCTCAGGAATATGGAAAGGGACCCAATGATCAGATAAAGAACAGAATTCGGAGTTTGTTGAAGTCTAAGGATGGAACGTTCAATAGAATAAAGGAGGATGCAGTGAAAAATGAGCAAGTTCAAAAAGTGATCAGTGCGGCTGTAGAGAAGAAGGAAGAAGAGAAAGTAATACAACGAAAGTCGGGGAATAAGGACAGTACAAATGGTAAGACAACACATTCGTGAAAATACACGTAAGAACAAGTTCGTCCCTGAGGAGAACACACATTCGTCACTGATGAACGTTCGTCCAGGACAACACGTGAGTTAGCACAACGGCGTAAATAAAAAGAGAGAAGCGGAAAAAGACAGAAGGAAGGTTGGGACGGTTTATGAGAACAACATCATCCCTCCTCCTCCCTTACCTCAAGCAACAGCAAGAGGCCATAAGAGCGAGGAAAATAGAGACGTCTGCTTCGGTGTGCATCCATCTGCTGTGGTCGTCGTTTGGTCTGCGTTTGGTCTACGTCCATCTCCGTCGGTCCGATTCGTGTTCGAATGTTACATAATGTAGAGCATGAATAATTCTAACCCTTCATTCATTAATTCGTGTTCTACAGACGCAGCGGAAGTAAAGACAGGAGCAGGAGGGCGGGCATCCATGTGGAACTACTTAATAGTACTATGGGATGATTATATTGAGACAGGGAAAACGGGGGTGAAGGAGACTAAGGAATTTAGAGTAAGTTCACGCTGGTACAGGAATAGGGGAACGCCGGAATAGTGTTATTCGGTCGTAGTGAAGTATAGTTGATGCGTGCGTTCAGGCACACGAATATATATTCATGTACGGGGCTACTATAATTTTCTGCAACCGCGGGCAATATATATAGGGCGGCACCACAGTTACACATGGAATTGTATGGATAAGAATATATAGAAGTAAGTTTGCAATTTATATATTGATATATAATGAATGTTATATTTGTAGGAGCTTTTTTGGAAAAATGTACACACCACGTGGAAAGAATTTAAGGAATATATGGACGCAGATGACGGTGGAATGACGCACAGTATGTGTGAAGCCGGACAGCGGGACCAGGAAGCGGACGGACACATATGGACTGGTGAGGATCTGGGTATATGCGAGTTAGCGTATATAGCGTTACGTTTTAAACATGGAATTCAATTAGACGGAACCCCTATGAGCCAAGAGGGCATGGACGAACAGAGGAAGAAAATACACAACTATATGAGGTGTATTCTAGTAAACATATTTATGAAAAAAATAATGGGCATGAAGTGTCTAGAAGGGCCTGGTGGACAGTTTGCATTCGGTCTTGTGGATGACGAAGTAAAGGGAGTTTACAAGCACGAGTTCGGTAATGTGGAGTGTGAGTGGAAGGATGCAGGGATAGGTGGCGATGGAACTGGAAGAGATGAAAAGGATAGAGGTCTCTGGGAAGTAATGAAAAGGTGGTTTGATAGGAATAAGGGATACTTGAGGGATGGCGAGACAGGAGTATTAGGGGAAGATTGTAGGGTGGTCAAGACGACAGCGGGCACGGAACAACAGAAGAAGGAACATGCGGCAACGGTCAAAGAAACAGTGAAAGCAGAAATAAAGAACGTGGAGAAGGACATAAAAGACAAGGTGCAGAAAATATTAACGGGAACAGAACATTGCAATAATGGGGATGATGATTGTGTGAAGAATGTATTAGAGAAAGAAAAGGAAAAAGAAAAGAAGAAGAATAAAGCCCCTGCGCAAACTCCAGAATTAGGGGGGAAGTCACCCGAGATACGAACAACACCATCATCAGAAGGGACAACGACGACAACATCCTCATCAAGAACACCGGTAGACCCAGGATCTGCACCCGCGGGACCGGCGCCGGCAGTAGCAAGATCAGATGCATCCGTTGAGGAAACACCGCTACAGCATCCTCCAGCACCAACAGCTGCGGTATCACCTGCAACACCAGAACCGGCAGAAGAGAAAGACAAGGAACCACCAGCACAATCTGTACCGGAACCAGGGCCGGAACCATCGAAGGCAGTTTCTACAGGAACATCAACACTACCAACACCTTCAGAACCATCAGCAGGGCCGGATGTATCAGGGAGGGATGCACAATCAACAGGCACAAAATCAGCGTGGGATTTCAGCAGTGTACCCACCAAAACCAAATTATGGGGAACAGGAGAAGGAACTCCAGACGGTGGAGGAGACTTGGGTAATGTACCGGACAGTGTCGATTTATGGGCAGCAGGAAAATGCCCTTCTAATGGTTCTGTCGACCTTGTCGCTGACTATAAGAACGGGAAATGTGACTTTAACTTTACACCAGATACTGGCCTAAATATAGGGGACGCAGCAGGAGGTTTTGCACCATCTGTCACAACACCCAGATCATCCAGTTCATCGAATAGCGACCCAGGTGACTACGCTGTTCCCGACCTAACCGCAAACGTCCTTACCGCCACTACTCCCATCCTGTTTTTTCTCACTTCCGTCATCGTGGCCCTCCTGGGTTATTCCCTTTGGAAAGTAAGTATATACGGAATACCGCATATGCGTATCCGTAATATGTACCATATGAATGTGTGTCTAACGGGGTCTGTTGTACGATCATTCTAACACAACTGCACTCTTCTACATCGTCCTTCTTCTTTTTTTTTGCTTAGTACTTTGCCTACCTCGCCAAACGACGACGAACATATCGAACCGTGCGTGACGTGCCGTCACCGCCACTCGACGAAGAAATATTGCAGCATCTACAACGCGGCGAGCCGCCACCCGATTACGGGTACACGATGATTAGGGATAGGCGGCCTGCATCTGCTGCCGCTGGACGACGCCACCCCCGACGCGTGCATAAGCGCACCATCATCGAGCTACATTTAGAAGTGCTCCACGAATGTGAAGCGGCCGCATGGGAAACGGTGAAAGAGGACTATTTGCAGATACTCGTGGAGCAGTTTGCGCACGACTTGGAGCAGGAACAGGACAGGAATAACACTATCTTGGGTGTGTCTACCACAAACCAGGATTTATCACGGAACAATGTTTCATCCACCGTGGATCCACCCACCGAGTCCGACGGAACGGACCTTTCTCCGCCTAACGACGAGGACTCCGATCCATGGCGTTGTATGGCAACCATGCAGTTCGCCACGGCCCCTTGTCCACCGAATGAACCCGATCCGTGGCGTTGTATGGAAACGATAGAGTTAGAAACGGACCCTTCTGCACCTAACGAAGCGGACTCCGATGCATGCAGTTGTATGGAACCTATACAGTTAGCAACGGACACTTGTCCACCACATGACCCCGATGCATGGAGTTGTATGGAAACTATACCGTTAGCAACGGACCCGTCTCCACCACATGAAGATGACCCATGGAGTTGTATGAAAAACATACAGTTAGATGCACAACAGAGTCGTGCTCATTCCAACCACGAGCACGCGACGTCGGAGTGCACCCAATGGATCCCTTGGATTGACATCACCAAATACCTTTTGCGGGAGTGCACGACGCAGCCATGGTTTCTGCAATTGAAATCGGAGTGGAAACAATACCTACGTGAGCACATGGCGGTAAACGAAGTATTTGGCAACAGTGCACTCGGTGAGCACGGTAATATGCCATCCACAGAAATGAAGAAATTGCGGTTGTGGAAACAATGGGTTGCAAAACAACATCGGCAGGTGATTGCATACAGGGAGGAGGAGTGGTTCCAATACCTATTGAGGAACATAGAAGAGGAAAACGGGCTAACAGCTGCAGAGGGAATACCGGCAAAGATAACAGCAGTGAAAGCAGTGGGCGATATGCCCACAGTACAGGAAGAACCAAGCACATTTATAACAGGACAAATGCTACCTGTAGAAAATGGCTTAAAAGGAGAAAAATCGTTGGAAGCGGAACAAGCTCTAAAAGTGAGCCATTTACCAGGGATGCAACAACACAATACGGAAATGTACATGAAGACATCGTTGACATCTAAATTATGGTTGCTAATCCTGTCATCCGTCATAGAACAGTGTGAAATGGAACAGAACCTTCAAGAAACAGACACATACCTTGACAATTTATTAGAAAACATGGCATAAAACTTATATGAATCCTGGATGAATTGTTAATCCCTGTACTATTATTAACTCCACATTATCCTAACACGTATATGGAAACCTCACAGTACATTCTACTGCATGGGATTATTACATGCAGCATGCAGTGTAACCTTCTACGGTAGACACTACTTATCCCTTACTTTTTTCCGTGTGTTGTGGTCTCTTTATTATTTTTTTTTTTCATTGAGTTGTATATATGGCCGCGCTCTATGGGAACAACGCGGCCGTATCCTATTTTATTTTTCCGCTATTTACTACAGTGCCGAATACATATTTTTGCACTTTACCACTATTTAGAGTCGCCGCCGGATGAAGGATCAACATTTGCACACGTACGGTCCAGGGTCTATGTTAAGCTTTCGATGTTCAAAGCTTCTTCTTTAAGGTTTAATGTTTACGCTTCCATGTTTTAGGTTTTGTTTTACGGTTCACAATACACAGTTAAGAACATCGTGTTGCGCATTCCATGCATTGCTGGTTTCGTATTACAGCCTCATAGTTCAGGATTCGGGGATCATTTTTTAATATTGAAGGTTCCAGTGTTCTGCACACTGCTGGTTATGGGGTTTAGGTCCCAGTTTCAGACTTTAGCTGTCAAGTTTTTAAGGTTCAAGATGCATAGGTGATATTTTGGAATTAGTACGTAAGGACGGCTGCGCGATCTGTGGTACATGCCGCAGGTTTCGGTCATTATGCAGTGCCTCAGCACAAGCAACCGCGGGTGTATTATTCTATAACTCGCCCGTAAGCCCAAGACAAAATAACTAGTGAAGACCGTACGTCAAAATATAGATACATGTACATTCGCCTATTTGTTGATGCATCACCAAATTAATTTATTTTTTTTTATAAAAGAATAAAAACTGCGCTTTGGTAATAGTGCAAAAAATATTTGTTCTCATCTGAAAAAAAAAAAAAACAAGAAAAAAAAAAAACAAAAAAAAAAGTGCGCAACATTCTGCCCTCCCCTCGAGCCAAGCCTTAAATTAGTAATGAAAACCCTGTGAAGCGCGCAGCAAAATCGCACCGCGCAGAATTGGAAAAAAAAAAAAAAAAAAAACGATGCAATTGATGTTGCGAAAACAAAATTCAAAAATTCAATGCACAAAACAACAAGACTGAATATAAAAAAAAAAAAAAAAAAAAAAAAGAAAAAAAGAACATACTGATATAAGACTAAATATAATAGTCGTTTTCTGTATTCGGTAAATAGTGCCAATACAAGAACCTACAGGAAAAAAAAAAGAAAAAAAAATGTAAATATAAGAGGCGTACAAAGAGTCAGCAGGAAGGTCAACGCCACGGTTACGGAAAAAGTCAGAACCACAAAGTCAGCGGAGGGAATACAATAGAGGAGACATATACGTTATATAGCCGCCGCGCGTCCAAACTTAACCACGCTTGATACAAAAAGGAAAAAACAAAATGGATGCCATAAGCAACAGCGTGACCGAAAATTCGTGTAAAAGGGCCCTAAATTATTTGAAGGAGAAGTATCAGAATATGGACATCTTCGATGTGAGTGGAACGACAACCATAACTGATGAGACAATAAAGGAATTCATGCAGTCGAGCATTCTATGCCCAAATGACAAACAGATAGTAGAACTGTTTAATGAAAAAAAAATAAATAAACTTATGTTAATTAATTATATGGAACGGAAAGTAAAAACAATGTTTCAAGGAAAGATCCATTTATTGTTAGTACTTACTTCCCCCATCTGGATTACCTACATGCTGCTCATATCGAAAACATTAAGGGCAAAAATTTTTACCTCCATTGCAGCCTCATGTATGTTTTTTAATTTTTTCGCTTCCTTCCTGCTCCACAATTTTGAATGGAAACCTGAGTTATATTTCTTGATTGAGAAGATTGATCACATGGGCATTTTTCTAATGATTAGTGGATCCTGTTTACCAGTACCAGCACTGATTTTTAACAAGATACAATTTTTATACTATATTATATTACAAGGGCTGACGTCCCTGTTTGGATGCTTATTCATATTCTTCAGCCGCTTTAGCACGGGAAATAGGATTACGCGGGCCTGTACTTATGTCATAGCTGGGTTCCTGCATGCCTTATTTTTGAAGGACTATATAATGGGCCTCATGGCCAAGGAAATCACGTTTTTCTTTCTTTTGGCCGCGCTCTACTGCCTAGGGGCCGTTGCGTATTCCATGAAGAAGCCTAACCCCATTAAAGGTAACGACACATGAGCTCCTGTGTTGTCTTTACAAATGCATGTGAACAAATGCAGTCCTGCAGTATTTCCAAGTACGCGTCAATATGTGCACTTCATCTTTACCCTTCCCTTCTCCCCTTTTGCATAATTTCCGTAGGCGTTATCGGGTTCCACGACGTTTTCCACATTTGTTGCCTCATCAGTGGTCTATTCACAATGGCCTTAAATTGTAGTGTCATCAGGAGAAATACATGAAGAAGAAAAAAAAAAAGGCGAGGTACCTGTTTTGCACGACCTGCACAGTTCCTCATTCCACGTACGCACCGAATACATAATTGCTCAAATCGTCCACAGTCTCCACCTTCCTACGGCTTCCTCCATCCTGTGTGTATTTTTCTCGTTCCTGTATTGTAAGAACAACACATTAAAACTTCTTAACGCATGCATGTTCGTTTACAAATGCGAGGTACATTTTTCTTTTTACTCTCTATTCTTGCCCGTTCCACCGCCCTTGTTCCATATTTTTCTCCTTAAACAATTTGTGTTGAACAGTTATATAGCCATGTACACTCGCGCAAGTGTTTAGTTATGCGTTCTGTTCGTAGAAGTGTTGCATAGTTAGAGAGGCGAATCGTACGTGGTGTGCTGCTCTGTTTCTTTCTGTACCTTACGTTTTAATTTTTACGTTCCCTTTTTTACGTTTAATTTTTATGTTTACTTTTTACGTTTAATTTTTAGGTTTAATTTTTACGTTTTATTTTTTACGTTTTATTTTTTATGTTTAATTTTTTACGTCTCATTTGAACGCCGTTTGTGTCCATTTCTTTCTGCGAAGGTTACCCTCTTTTTTTTTTTTT